AATTCATGTTGACATAATTAATGTAGTTGACAAATGATGTGCAGTAGTCAGACTCATACATTGAGGTGTCTGTCTTGTGTCCCCCTGTCCCTCTGTAGGATATGTAAGAAAAAGATTCAGCTTGGTAGATGAGTGTAACAAATGCACAATTATAAAAACCTAGTTATAACTGTTTTAAAAGTGTATCATGTAAGTTAGGTTTTTTTGTTAAAGTGAAAGCAAAAACTTGTATTTTAATTTATTTTCAAACTCTTAACCTTATTTATGATATGCTAAGGTGGTGATTTATTCACTCAAAATATTTTTTTTTCCACTTAAAACTAATTTATAAACTGTGTATGCCTGGGAAGCTTTGAAATCTATTAGAAATTTGTTGGAATATTTTCACCATTTAAGACAGACTTCTGACTTAGATACTGATTTTAATGCCAGTGTCTGCTTTAAATATTTATTATAAAAATGCATTATTTTTTTAAAGAGCTTGATGCAATTTGTGATAAGTGATAGTACTCAACCTGAATCTGACCCCCAATCCCACCCTATGACCAATCCTTCTCAAATCTTTGGTTGTTGGTTAATTCACTGACTGTGAACACAAATGATATGGTGTGGTTTAGAAGTTACATTTTCAGCCTTATGATAGTTAAAACATGGTAAGCCTTAGTAGTAAGTAGTCTTCTTTTCTAAAAGGTAGATTACTTCTCAAGAAATGGGCTTAGATGTGGGTATTATAATACCAAATTCTAAATCATGAGCATTTTCTCCACTGTGCATGTGAGGCAAACCATGTATCTTTGAGTGCAGTTTGGCCTGGCCCCTCAAAAGAAAAGTGTAACGCCCCACTTGCATAGGGGTGCTGTAGTGTGAATGGATACCATCACTCTTTTCTCCACAAACAGTGACAGCTGTCTGGAGTGGCAGTCTGAGCAGATTCCCTGGCGTTCCCTCTGCTCCTTCCATCACTACAGTAAGTAAAGAACCACGTGGGCAGCCGGGAGTCAGATCGGCTGTGCTCAGTAGCCAGCCTCCCCTCTGGGAAGAGTCCAGATGCAGCTGTTCTGGCACCTTCTCTCACAGGCACTCTGAACCATCAGGGCTTTTCTATAGGAACTCCTTCAGAATCAACAAAAGCTGGGATGACCTAGCCATCTTGATTTGCAAAATTAAAAGAACAAAAACTAGGTTGTCAGTTGTCACTGTAGATGAGCAACACTCAATCTGAGTGATTGAACTGGTTCTGAGAAATCTTTAGAATGAAGAAACTCAAGTACAAATTAGTTGGGAAAGTTAGAATGTCCTTTCTGAAATTTCCATTCTAAAAATTGACATTATATGAAATAACATAAGCTACTAAACTGCTTTGTATTCTATTAAGAAATAGCTCCTAAAGGTAAAATATTGTTTCATAGTTGCGCTATATAAAGCTTTTTTAAAAAGTGTAAACCCAGTTCTCTGTGTTGAAAGGGAGCATTGAGTTACCTACTGAATTTATACAGAGGATTTGTTTCCACCTGTAATTCCAGCCATCCACACGAGTGTTCTTTTTTTTATTTGTTTTTATAAGCAAATGCAAAGTTTATTGGGAGGGGACCCAAGTGGGTTGCCGCACATATGAGTGTTCTGACGTGGCAATAGCACATGGGAAGATGAAGTTTCCCTGTTTCTTTACCCCTATTTGTTTGGCTTTATCTGATGACAATATAAAATGTTCTTAATAAAGTTTTATGTTCTTTTTGAAATGTGTAGCTTATTTTTGTGAATCTGATTGATCGGATATAGGGTGGGGAGGGAGAGATTAATGGACTGGGAGGGAAGGAAAGTGTTGGAAGTATTCAGCGACGGAGGTGGAGAAACTGCTGAAGGAGATTCCTTTTGCTTGGCCAGTGGTTCCCAAACTTGAGAGAACATCAGAATCACCCGGGGGCTTATTAAACCAGAGCTTCTGGGGTAAGATCTGATTGTTTGCATTCCTAACTATTTGGTGTTGATACCACTGGGACTATATTTTGACAACCATGTTCTAGACCAACTTTTGAGGTCTATGACTTGCTTGACAATTTAAAATTCCAGGCAATTCCAGGAGATATGATAATAAAGTATGGGTTTTACAGTTCATTATATAGCAAGTTCCTTATGGGCAGAGGACAAGACCAAATCTTCTGTTGTGACCTCCTGCTCAGTAGTGCTTAAGTGTTTTTGAATAAACAGACTCACTAGTAGCTTAAACTCCTTCTTTGGAGCACAGGCCCTCTCACCACACCTTGCATTTAGAGCACAATGGGGGAATACTTGAAATCTGGGAATCTCTGGCAGTGTTGGCCAAATTTCTTCGATAAGACTCACTTGGGACGTTTGCATATGGCCACATACCAACTGAACCAGAACTTTCTGTGATTCTTATTTAGAAATTCTGGGAGATGTAGTCCTCTTGGCCAGTGCTTCAGTTCTCCATTCCTGGATGGGAGAATTACTTAGCTCTATATACTGTATATGTAATTCCAAGATACTAAAGCAAAAACCCAAAGCATGGATGCTAAGCATTCTGAACTTAAGATCTTTATGTGAGCTTTGTGTGATCTTTTCCTAAGTTCAGAATAAATAATGAAACAACTAATCTGAAATGACCATGATCTAATGATCTCTCTGGAGACTTTATATTTTTAAAAGTTAAGGATTCAAAGACATACTTTAAATATAAATTACTAGAGGCCTGGTGCACAAAAATTTGTGCATTCAGGGGGGTCCCTCAGCCGGGTCTGTGCCCTCTTGCAGTCTGGGACCCCTCGGGGGATGTCCACCTGCTGGCTTAGCCCCGCTCCCTGGGGGATCGGGCCTAAGCTGGCAGTCAAGACATCCCTCTGGCAGCCCGGGAACCCTCGGGGGATGTCCACTTGTCAGTGGGGAGCAGTCCTAAGCTGTAGTCGGACATCCTTAGCGCTGTTGAGGAGGTGGGAGAGGCTCCTGCCACCACTGCTGTGCTGGCAGCCATCTGCCTGGCTTGTGGCTGAGCAGAGCTCCCCCTGTGGGAGCGCACTGACCACCAGGGGGCAGCTCCTGCATTGAGCATCTGCCCCCTGGTGATCAGTGTGTGTCATAGTGACCAGTCATTCCCAGTCTTTCTACTGTTAGGGTCAATTTGCATATTACCCTTTTATTATATAGGATAGAGGCCTGATGCATTGGTGGGGCTGGCTGGTTTGCTCTGAAGGGTGTCCCAAATCGATGGGGGTCCCGGTGGGGTGCCTGGCCAGCCTGGGTAAGGGGCTGATGGCTGTTTGCAGGCTGTTCAAGCCCCCCAGTGGGGACCCTCAGCCCATGGGTGTGTGGCCAGCCTGAGTGAGGGGCTGAGGGCCATTTTCAGGCTGCCCACAGCCCATTCAGGGTGGGGGTTCCCATTGGGGTGCCTGGCCAGCCTGGGTGAGGGGCTGATGGCTGTTTTCAGGTTGGCCACGCCCCCCCCATGACCCAAACTCCCAGCCTCTCCTTTTTTTCTGGGATTTATTTATCTTCTATAATTGAAACTTTGTAGCCTTGAGCGGAGCCCAAGGCAGGGCAGGTGGGAAGCTTAGCTTCCTCCATTGCCAGGGGCAACCCAAGCCTCTTGGCTCGCTCCAGCTCCATGGCTGCCGCCATATTAGTTGGGTTAATTTGCATACTCGCTCCTGATTGGCTGGTGGGTATGGCTTGAGTATAGCAGGACAGTTAATTTGCATGTTTCTCTTTTATTATAGAGGATATCTATATCCTATGCATATGTGTATAACTGCATATTAAAGTTAGTAAGAAAGCCTGTGCCAGTTTGGCTCAGTGGATATAGTGTCAGCCTGCCAACTGGAGGGTCCTGGGTTCAATTCAGGTCAAGGGCATGTACCTTGGTTGCAGCCTTGATCCCCAGCCCTGGTTGGGGAGCATATGGGAGGCAACCAATCAATGTGTCTCTCTCACATAGATGTTTCCCTCTGTCTCTCCTTCTATTTCTCCTCCTCCCTTCCACTCTCTCTAAAAATCAATGGAAAAATATCCTTGGGTGAGGATTTACAAAACAAAATTAGTAAGAAAATATTCTCTAAAAAACGGATAGTCCTGAAAAGATAAGTATGAAAGATTTCATATCAAGACAAGGTTTTATGTCCACACTATAATTTTAATATTCTCTTTAGAGATGCCCAAACCCTTCTGCCAAATAGAAAAGAAAGTCAAGAATACATAGTGTCCTTTATTTGCCACTGAGGTAAACAGCTCCCGGCCTAGGAGTTCCTACTTTTACTTCTTCTTACCTCCCAGTCATGCAGTTGGAGAGGATGTTAGTTCTAAATCTAGTGTGAACAAGTGGGCTAAGGAATTTGAATTTAACTACCATAATTGAGGAATATTTGCAGAGCGCTTACAGGCACTTAGGGACAGTCAAGCAGGAAACTACAGGGTCACCAGCACTGTAGGAAGAGTGGCCCTCAATGCAGTGGGGCTGGACCATGTGCAAAGGCCCACGGCCGGCAAGAAGATGGTACATTCCGAGAACAACAGAGCTCATATGCCTGGGTAAGTGAACAGAAGAGCAGAGAGTTCAAGAGAAACATGTTCCAGTGAGAAGTTAGCCAGAAAGGTACAGTACCTACCGTGACCAAAGTATTATGGTAGGTGCTGTGGACATGAAGGGAAGACCCAGCTGCTGCAGCCTGTGGCCCGCAGTCTCAGAATAATGACTCTCACCAGCCCTCTTTGATGACACTAGTTAGTGTAATTTCACTTTACATGACTACAAGACTAACTCGCTAATAACCTTGGCCGCCCAGTTTACCAAGCCCTAATGGAAGAAAAACAAGTGTTAAACTTGTAGCAACAGAGAGGCTTAGAAACAGATTATAGTTTAAAATATCTACATTCTTTATTTAAAGGTGTGTTTTTTCAAAAACAAACAAACAATGTTGCGCCCAGGCTGATGGCTCAGTTGGTTGGGCATTGTCCTGTACACCAAAAGGTCAGTGCGATTCCTGGTCAGGGCATATACCCAGGTTGAGATGCTTATGGGAGGCAACTGATCGATGTTTCTCTCCCTCTCCCTTCCTCTCTAAAATCAATAAACATATATATTTTTAAAATTACCTACAAGGACTTTTCATATGTTTTTGATTCTCAGAATCACCCTGAGAGATAGGCAGGTTTTAGTTATTCATTCTAATGAGGTATTTTCTCCATAAATACAGAATACTGCCAAGAAAAGTTTGCTTTTAGACCCTAGTTTTTAAAAAGCTGTTTTTCTGGTAACTTTAGTTTCAGAAATTACATTAAACATTTCTTATTTCCATAAGTCCATCCTTTACAAAGAAGATAAGAAATTTCTGAAGTCCACCTTTGAATTCTTTTTGGATTCACTCTGGCTAAGTAACATTTTTAGTTGAGAGAAGTGTTTCTTTGTTTTGTTCACATTTTTTGAGGAGCAAGTGGGTGTTGAGTGTCCAGATGTAGGTGTTCTGAAAAGAAACATAAAACTACACTTAGGAATACTGACAAAGGACAATTTAAAAAGTATTCTTCCTGCTTAGCCTAAATGACTGCTATCAGACACGTTTTCCACTCTTCTGTATTATGGCCATATATGAGCAGTGGCTGTACCCGGCAGTCACTCCCAAAAACCTCCTCACTAAGTAAGCTACAAGCAACATTTAGTTGGTATATTGGGTGGTTCTGGAAGCTTCTATCACACCTGAAAGAGAAGGCTAAAGGTAAAGTGTCATCAGGTTTGAGTTCTCTTTAAGTCTGACATCAAGACTCATGACAAAGCTAAGCAATGACTTTGAAGGATCTCAACCTACACATGTAGGTACCATTCCGTTGTATCTTCCCCTGAATGGAAGCTCCACAGGGCAGGCACTCTGTACTAATTGTATAGTCCAGTGCTTTCTAACAGTGCCAGGCACAGAGGAGGCCCTCTATATATATTCACTCCATAAATGATTCCCCATCTGGTATGTGTATATTTATGCCTCATTCTATTTTATTCTTTCCACTTGTGTTTCATCCTGAACCTTTATTTGGGGTTTGTCAGCCTGACCCCTCTTCTGCCTCCCCATCTATAAGATAAATGTGAAATATTTTCCTCAGTCCTGCATGTCTAAGAAGCAGTCTGGTCTAAATGAAAGTGAATTCTTTTAAATACACCAAATTTTCTTTTATCTACTTTTATCCAATAAAGTGGAAGCTTCCATGATGAATTCCTATCATACCAAATAACAAAACAATTAAATTAAGAATATAGAGAAAACTGGCCTTGAGATTTAATTCTTATCCAATAAATCCAACATTAAAAAAACTCAATTCAGAAAGCAGAGAATCCAGTCCTTCCTGAATTTCGTTAAAATGTGCCCAGTCATAGTTAACTCAGTATCGTTTGACAAATCCCTATTTAGTTACATCTTCACAGGAATTTATTAGAGGAACTAACAAGAACAAAGATTTAGAGCAGGAAAGTAAATGGTGAGTTGTTCAGTTTTGCTGACACACAGGATACATTAGGCAAAGTAACACAGGCAGACAGATTGGTGCCAGGCAGTGAGGGCTGGAGAGCCTGCTACATGCCCCAAATGGTGCTTCTAATCAGAGCTGTGATTCAGGAGATCAGACAGGAAGATTAATCAAAAGGGGAATAAAGACCTGAAGAGATAGCGGCAGTAGGGATGTAAACACCATGAAAGTAGAACAATAGAAACTGGCAGCTGACCGGACAAGGACCAAGGCAGTGGTTGTCAACTGAACTTGCCATTTCAGGTCAGAATGTCTAGAAGGGCATGTTTATTCACAGAATAAGGAACTTGAGGATGGGCAGGTTTGAGTAGTCAGCCGTGGGGACCTGTAGGGGGTGAAGTGGGTATATTTAGCATGCAGCTGGGAACAGGGAGAGGTTGCAAGTAGAGGAATTTGCCTGGAAGTCATGCAGAGGTGACAATGAAAGCTATAGGAGAATATGAGACTAGAGAAGAAAAGGATATGGAGGAAAAAAGAGGGCCAAGGCAAGTTTGGGCACTGTACATAAGAGGAAATTGGAAAAAATACTCAGGAGTTAACACTGGCAATTCAAATAATTAATGAATTAATTACCTGAAAGTCAACGCTGGGCTCTTGCCTTTGGAACCAGACACCCTGTGATTTAGGTTTGCAGAACCCAGAGACTTTCTCTCTGGGGTCTTCAGGCCGAGTTTCCTCGCAGGAGTGGCAGGATTGCTCCTCAGTGCTGACAGAAAGCTTCTGCTCTTTCCATGATGTTTCACTGTTTTGTTGCATGTTTTACAAGTAATCAACTACCATAAAAAGAAGACATATGTGGCGTGATTTCTCTTAAAATTTAGTCCAATAAAGTACGTGTTCCTTAAATTCTTATATGCAAGGGAGCAGACCAGGTACTACAGGGTGAGTAACAGAGGCTGACCTCAGGGAGCTTGTAATCTTGCAGCAGGAATCAGACCAAACACAAATTTAAAATGAGAAAATCTCCAATAAAAAATGAATGGCTAAACTTGTGTAATTTAAAACACCTTTTAAAGATAATAAAGTCTCTACTTTCTCAATGTAAAACCATGTGTGGGGGTCATGGAGGAGACTGGGAATAATACCCCTTAACACCTGGATGGTTCAATGTATCTTCTGATGCTCGTCTCTATTAGTAAACCACAAGTAATTTGATTTTGGTTGTTTTATCCATTTTATATCTCCAATACTTAGCATTATATGGCATAAGATAGACCCTCAATAAAGGTTTAATGAATGAACATAAGATGTACTTACTTTTGTTGGGCATAAACGTAAATACATACTCTAACATGGAAGAGGGGATGACTGAAAAAGTGACAAATGCCTAACAAATAAGCTACTGTTGTTTGAAGAAAAGGACTATTAACTGAAAAAATAATTTAGTAGTAGCTGCAGTTCAGGTGAAGTCACATTGGTCTGCTCAAGAAATCCTCCAATTTGTAAAAATAATTGTGGTCAACAATGAGATCTGAGAACAATTGAGAGCTCATGATACGTGATTTTAAGTAGTTGTAAAAAGCAAAAAGAAGCTGTACACTTGCTGAAACAGTAATCACTAGGAAAAAAAAAAGTATATATTTTGCCAATCTCAATATACTACTACAAAACTCAGTTATGTTCAGGTTGATTCTCTTCATTTTGAGTGAAAGTCTGGAAACTGAAATCTTACCAGTACACTTTTGGAGTCTTTGTACTTTTTCACAATTTTTGCTTCTTTAAAACTGAGTGTACAATTTCTTGCTTCTCGATTAAGAAGTTTCTGTATTCTTGGTGTCAGTTTGGGCTTGGGTTTGAGGCGTACTCGAGAATTATCCAGAATCAGCAACTGGAAACAGTATGGGCATGTTTCTTCAAAAGTGCTTTTAGCATCTAAAATTATACAAATGAAACTCATGATTCAATAAATTAGAATACTTTTTTTTACCTCAAACTGCCAATTTTATAAATGTAAAAAGGAAAGGTATATTATCATTTAAGCAGATATACATTATCCTTAAGCAAACTCAAACTATGAGAATTTATTAAAAGATAAACTGGCGATGATTTATTTTGCAAAACACTATCACTGTATCCATTCATTCCTTTTAGCAACAGACAGGTAATTCCCCACTCTCTTGCTCCTTACTTGTACTGAGTATAAAAGGCTGCATGTCTCACCTATTTTTCAAACACATTGATCACAAAATATAAGTTTACTATGACTTTGTTTCTTTTTAAAATAATTTTGTGGCTTGTGGGCTGGGCTTTGTCTGCAGGTAGCTCTCTTAGTATAAAGTAACAGACAACAGACTTGCCCAGACCCTTTATGCAATCAAGAAAGCATTCCCTGACCAGGCTAGGATGTGGAGACACAAATATGGGAGTGAAAGAGTTGCTCTCTTTAAAGAACTCACGTCCGGGAGCCCTAAACAAATGAAGGTAAGACTGGTAAGAACTGTAACAGAATATGATGTAAATGCCCTGGAAATTATTAAGCTGCCTGGACCAGCCAACCACACTATAAAGAGAAGACTTCTCAAAGTATGTCATGGATGACTATACATTCTATCTACATTTGGAGATGGCACCCATGAAAAGTAAGGAGCTTTCCGGGAGAAGTACAGTGAAAAAGAAAGCATGGCTATGGAGGGAAAGGGGAGGGCATGAAGGTGATGCAGCGGAAAAGGAAGGTGAGCACAGCATCTATTTATTCAGTGAATATTTTTTTTAAATAATATTTTTATTGAGTTCAGAAAGGAAGGGAGAGGGAGAGAGAGAGAGAGAGAAAAAAACATCAATGATGAGAGAGAATCATGGATCGAGCCTGCAACAGGGCATGTGCCCTTGGCTGGAATCGAACCTGCGACCCTTCAGTCTGCAAACCGACACTCTAGCTCAGGGGTCCTCAAACTACGGCCCGCGGGCCACATGCAAATACAAATATTGTATTTGTTCCCGTTTTGTTTTTTTTTTACTTCAAAATAAGATATGTGCAGTGTGCATAGGAATTTGTTCATAGTTTTTTTTAAACTATAGTCCGGCCCTCCAACGGTCTGAGGGCCAGTGAACTGGCCCCTGTTTAAGAAGTTTGAGGACCCCTGCTCTAGCTACTGAGCCAAACCATCCAGGGCTATTCAGTGAATATCTATTGGTGAGCAATGTGCTAAGTCCTAGGGACACAACAGGACTACAAAGAGCTAAGCACCATGCTTGCAACTCATCTCTGCCAAATGTAAAATTCATTCCTATTTATTGAGTGACTGTTAAGCGTCAGCACTGTTCTCGGAGCTGGAGACACAGCAGTGAACAAAGGACAGTTTGTGGAAAAAGACAATAAGTATAACAACAGCTAATGTTAAGTGCTGGGAAGAAAAAACAAAGGCAGGAAAAGTAAATGGGGAGTGGGGATGGAGCTGCTGTAATCCTAAACAAGGCAGGCAGGGAAGGCTTGGGGGTGGGGGTGTGTGTGTGTGACATTTGCAGAGACCATAGGAAGTGAGGGCCGAACCCAAGCAGACGTGAGGTCAGGCAGGAGGAAGGGTGAAGGCAGTGAACCAGCCTAGTGTGGTTCGAGTTAAGTGAACAAAAGGGAGAGCAGGTCAGCGAGATGATGCCACCTGTGACGTGAGGCTTTGTCCTCCCTTCACAAGATTGTCACTTTCACTCTGAGATGGGAAGTTGAGAGCTTACCAGCCTCACTTTGGCTGCTGGACTGAGAATGGCCTGCGGAAATGCATGGGAGCTGCTGGCAATAACCTGGGAGAAAGACTGGTGGCTGGGACCCGGCCTTAGATAGCTGTGGTGAGAGGCGGCTAGAGGACGGGTATATTGCAAAACCAGGGCATGTTGGTTCGGGAAGGGAGTCAAGACTGGCTGATTACAAAGAGGAGTTATTTGCTGCAATGGGAAGACTTGTGTTGGGAGATAAAGCTTAGGTTTTGCCTTCAGAGACATTCAAAAGTTGCAAGAAGGCATCAGGATGTGTCTAGAGCCCGGGGGAGAGGTCTGGGTTGGGGGATATAAATTTGTTAGTGCTCAGGATACAGCATTTAAAAGCCGTGAGACTGGATGACAAACTGTCACCCAGGAGGTGAGTGCAGCTAGACCAGAGGTCCCAGGGCAGAGTCCTGGACGCTCCAACATTGTAGAGGCTGGGGAAGCCAGGAGGGACGTTACAGCAGCTCCAGACGGACTGGCTAAAGAGGTAGGAGAGCTGTGAAGTCAAGTGAGGAAACTGTTTCGAGAGATTAGTCAAGGTGTCCAATCCCGCTAATAGGTCAGGCCAGGCCAGGCCCATGAAGCCCGGGAAGGGGCGCGCGGCAGTGGGGGGATCAGGTTTCTCTCGTCGCTCATTCTGAGTGCTACGCGGGACGGAGGGGCGCGGGCGAGGCGACCCTGACCCGCAACCCACGGGCGTTCTCCCTACCGTGTGACGAACTGAAGGCCCAGCTGCAAAAGAGAAAGAGGCCGTGAGGAACGCGGGCACACCACCCCGCCGCGCTCCCGCTCCCCGCGTCCCGGCCTTACAGGAGATAGCGGGCCTGGCCCGGGCAGCGAGCCTGCAGTTTCCGCGCCGCAGCCTCGAGGTAGTGCTTCTGTCTCATCGCCACCACAGTCCCACCGCGACACAAGGAGACACCGGAAGCTGGGCTCCCGGCGTGTTGGACTTTGGCGTCCGGATACACGTTCCGTCCGGAAACGGGCGCCCTCGATGAGGCGTTCCGGTCGCTTTGGCTCTGTCCCGCGCGGTCCGGCTCTCTCCTCGGCCCCGCCCCTCTCCCCGGCCCCGCCCCACTTCCGCTCCCGCCCCCGCCTGGCCCCGCCCCTGGCCCGTGTGGTTCGGCTGTCTCCCCGCCCAGGCTCCGCCCCTGCCCCTGCCCCGCTAGGGCCCAGCGAGAACTCTCCGCGGACCGGAGCCTGCGCGGAGCCGCCTCACCCGGCAGTGGTAGCGATGTCAGGAGCGGAGTCCCACGGTTCCTCTGCCTTTCCCTCCCGACAGTCCCTTTCTGATGCCCCAGTTGTCATTTCCTCAGCCCTCGTCGCCCTCTAATTCGCGAGCCGGGCCGAGGCAGGTGGATGCAGGGACGCAAGGGGACCTCCAGCCCAGCCGACTTTAGGCACCTACACGAGAGAGCTTTTTTGTTTTCTTTTTCTGCTTTTAATTGAAGTGAAATTCACCCAACATGAAGTTAACCATTGTAAGGTGAAAATTTGGTGGCGTTTAGTACATTTACAACGTTTCGCAAATACCAACGTTATCTAGTGCGGAAACTTCTATCGCCTTGAAAGGGAACCCCAGCCCGGTTTAGCAGTTGCTCCCATTCTCCCCTCTTTCCCAGCCCCTAGCAGCCACTAGTCGGCTTTGTCTCTGTGGATTTACCTACCGTGCACATTTCATATCGTGGAATCATACTTGTGATCTTTTGTATCTGGCCTCTTCTACTTAGTGTAATATCTTTGAGGTTCTTCAGCTTGTAGCATATATTAGAACTTCAGTCCTTCTTATGGCTGAATAATATTACATTGTATATAACACGTTGTTTATCCATTCATTTGTTGATGGACATTTGATTGTTTCTACCTATTGGCTATTGTAAATAGTGCTGCTATGAACACAAACATGTATTTGTTTGAGTACTTCTTTTCTTTTCTTTTGGATATATACCTAGGAGTGAAATTGCTGGGTCAAATTGCATGTGCCCTTGACTGGAAATCGAACCCAGGACCAGTCCGCAGGCCGGTGCTCTATCCACTGAGCCAAACCAGCTAGGGTTTGCTCAGATTTTTTAATTATTATCCAAAGGAAGGTTAGTCCACCATTTCCAAAAATTAGAACCTCATTATACTCTCCTGACTACTTATATATTTGCAATTTTCCATAATTTTAAACAGAAGAATGAGGGGAAAATGGTTGTATGCATGTCTTAATTTTTCTCATCTCATTAATCCGAAGGCTGAAAATTAGTTTCCTTCTCTTGACATGGCAGTTTAAAAAGTAAAATGAATAAAAAGGAAAGTTGTCAAAACGTTTGATGTGGGGGGTGTGGGAAGAACCACAACCCTAGCTGCTAGGAAGGAAGGAAACCTGTTATAGGTTTGTTCCACCACATGCAGTTCCTGAGAGTCACCAGCAGGGGGAAAACGTTCTGTTTCCTACGGGTCCCAGCGCATCGCCGCGAATTCCTTAACCCAAGGAAAGAAGGCGAGAGCGCCGGGCTCATCTCGGTCGGTGCACGGAGGGAACTGGCCTAGAGGGGTCACTCGGACCGCAAAGACCTCGCGAAACGGAGTCTACCTATTCCCAGAGGCCGTCCCTTTCGAGGCACACGGGTAACTTGGCTGGAACTCCCAGCTGACCTCTCAGCCCCACACTCAGGACTGCAGCAGCTCAGAGCCGCCTCCAAAGCGGCCCCAGCGGCGCAGGCAGGAGAGGCAAACCCTCGTCCGGTTCCCAGGTGAGCCCGTGCCCGAGTGCGAGCGGGATCCAGGTGAGCGTGCGCCCGAGTCCGCGAGTGACCAGGTGAGCCCGCGTCCGGGTCCGGAACGGAACCAGGGGAGCCCTCGTCCAGCCACTCTAGCATCTTGGTGGAGTCGGGTCGCAGGACTCGAGCAGTCAGTGGGCAAAATGGGTTGAAGCCGAGAACGAAGCCCGCTGGTGGTTCACGACACGGGCCTGGGCACAGCTGTGTGTTCCAGGGCCGGGGGGGTGGGGGGGTTGGGGGGGGAGAGACAGGAGATCAGAAAGGACCTCCTCCCACCAAGTGCGCTCATAGGATCACCCTTAAAAATGAGCCCTGCTAATGAGGTGCTGTGCGCGGGTGGGCGGGAGATGGTTATTTCATTAATAAGTGCTGGACATGCATCGCTTTCTGGAGCACCTTGGCTACCCCGTGTATTTGGAACCGGCGGCAGAGCCTGGGTCTGTGCCCCTGAGTTTTTGAATGACTGCGTGGGTAAATGACAAGCGACAGACGGGAAGAAATACCACCACTTCAGGGGATATTTTAAGATTGAAAGTCAGTGGATACTGAAGCAGTGAGAGAGACTGGAAAAGGAAAGCAAGAACAGAGAGATAAGAAGAAAAGATACAGGAAGTCTAAGAAAGAAACCGAGTGGACACAGAGCCCGGTGGACCCCACAGCTCGGTGGGGCGCACAGGTTAGGGGCAGAGCGCTGTCCGGATGGACATCTCTGAGAAGGGGGGTTGCGGGGGGGCGGGGCTGGGGGGAGGAGCCTGACCCTGAACAAGATCATTGGAATCCGAGGAGGCCATTGGTTAAGAATCCATTGGTTATCGCTCAAATTTTAAGGTTGTCATGGTAGGAATAAAAACGTATGCAACGGGTAGGCAACAAGTTTTCTTTTGACAAATGATCAAGTAAGATATACACATTTAATTGGATTAGGAGAGAAGTTGTAAGGAGTTCGTGATTTTCTATACCCTCATGAACATTCACAGAAGATCTCTAGAAAAGCATTTACTGTAAATAATTAGACTTTGAAATTGGAATTGTTGCAAAACAGCACAATTATTACCCTGTCTTAATAATACTGTATGTAGTAGTATGTCAGTTATAAAGGGGTGGGCAAAGGGGGAGGAGTCTGCAACCAGGGTTGGTGTCCTTGACCAGAATTGAGCCAGGAACCCTTTGGTCCACAGGTCGATGCCCTATCCGTTGAGCTAAACTGTCTAGGGCCCTATTCTTGTGTTTTAAAACTTGCCTATTTACTTGGTGTTTTTAAACTTTGGAATGGGGAGGAAAAGACAGGCTACGTGTCCATGAATCAGACATGGCAATAAAGCCTCAATTATTGGAGAGGGATCCTTAACTGAATGGGAAATAAGAAACTGAGGGGGAAGATATGGTGACCCCACTTGCACTGTGTGTACTATTTCTTCCTAAATGGCGGGGGGTTCAGAATAGGCAGTCAAGCTTAGTTTTGGCTAACATAAATTAAAAGTATTTTTCTCAGTAAGTGTTTATATGGAAGTATTAAGTAGCCTCTTAACACTTTCTCTTAAGGCCCCAGGGACTGACTCCTAGCATCTTAGAGGCAAAGTACTTGTCACGAAACCTTTTACCTTAAATCTTGCTTTAGTATATTTTATATGGCTCTAAGAGAACTTACCAATTAATCAGGATATGTGCTATTAGTTATATTTTTAAAAAACAGGAAATGTCACATTGTAGGCTATGGGATTCCTTCTGTTAGTTGTTCACATTTGAGCCTATGGACACTGGGAAAACCAGCTGATCGTTTTAAGTAAGATAGAGGTCCATGGTTTTGTTTGTGTGTGTTTTTAATATAAACACTCTGGAAGCAGGCAGTCCCCTGGCTGGTGTAGCAGCTACTCTATCTCCCCAGGAACCTAATTTTTCTCTTTCTTTCTGCTATTCTTGTAACTGGAACTAAGGTTTGGCTGCCTGCTGCCACGAAAGCCAAACTTGTGAGACAAGTGCTGGTGTAAAAGGAAGGAGGTTTATTCAAGTGTCAGCATCTCAAGAAGATGAGGGACTCTTGTCCAAAGCCCATCTCACCATCTCAGTCAGGCAGAGGTTTTTATAAGGAGGCAGAGGGAAAGCGAACAAAGAAATCAAGGGGAGGGGTTGAAAAGTTCTCTACGTGCAGGCCGGCATAGTACATCCATCCGGAGAAGGACCTTGAAACGGGGCAAGTGATGTGCGGCATCCTGGTCTTCATTATCCTGGTTCTCTGTCATCCTGGTTCTACAGTTGGAACTGGGATGACTGAAGGTCAGAGTCTGTACCTTCTGAAGTTAGTTCCTAAAATTTTTATACAAACATGCTGTTTATCTACAAGCTACATATTAGTCAGAGTCAGCATGTATAGAAACAAACCATGTGAGGAGAGGCCTGGCCAATCCTCAACTATTCCAGTGGCCCCACTGAGGTGTCAGTCATGTGCATGAAGCCACCTTGGATGGACCTGCTCCAGCTGAGCTCCAGTTGACACAATGTGGAACACAAGAACTAAGCCCTGCAAAATTATAGATTTGTCAGAAATAAATCACTGCTAAATTGTGCTGAAACACAATCAGTTGGCCCCCCTCCTCCAAAATGGCAAGATCGCCAAGAAGTGAGGTTCATTGGTTGGGCCTTTGGCCTCACTGGACATGGTAGATAGAAGTCTGCTACCCTAGAGGAAGGGGATGGCTATCTCAGGGGGGAGGGGGGTATCAGTTGTCCTTAGTCACCAGTCTCCTGGTGGCAGCTTGGAGCAGGAAAGGCATCTCTAGGACCTCAGGAAGAAGGTCATATGGGATCATTACTCTTGCCCTTTGGCATTACAGTAGGTCCTCAGGTTACGTCGGAGATCTGTTCCTATGGCGCCAGGTAACGTGATTTTCGCCCTAAGTCAGAACCCACCTGCATAAGCACCTACGTCACTCACATGGAG